TTTACTAATTAATGAAGCCGTATTTTGATGAAATACAATATTAATAATTTTTATCAAATATCGAAATTCTCAAGGTATCGAGAAATTTTTTAAAGATGTATCTCAGTATTAAATGTAATAAACCCTAATTAGTGTCATTTGATCTATATTCTGGCTAAACCTAATTTTTCAACTAGTTCTTCAAATGAATATTCAAATCTCAAAGTAGCACGTAGACCACAAAAATTATATAAAGTACTTAAACATTTTGTGCCCTCGAGGGTCAATTTCGTTTGCGTATTAAACTTCATGTTATGTTTACCGAATATTTAGAAACGTCTTCGAAAAATAAATACTGGGTAATTCACGAGTCGTACAGACTGTTAGGAAAATAGTCTTATGATGGCGAGACGCATGAAGATATACACACATTGGTAAATTCAGCCAGTTTTCGTAATCTCTTCATAAAGCAAAGTAAAATTCTTGGGGCTCATTGGTCATAAAATGTTTTATCCCTGTTAATTTTACCTCGCATAATCTGAAGTGGCTTTGTGAATAAAATTACGATGAAATAACTTTAGTTTACACATAGTGCTTAGCAACATTAAAATAATTTCAATATTTCAGCATTTACTTTTCTAAAGATGTATTTATTACGAAAGCCAAAATGAAATATTTTGAGTTTCCCTGATCACGTAGTTTTAAAATCTAGGACCTACATAATTTACGTTTAACATTTTCTCAAAGAACAAATGTTGGAAACATGTATGAATACTTATTTCGAAGATATTCAGTTCCTTGAATTAAAAAAATGCATTGAAAAACAACTAATTTCAAATCTCCCAATACTAAACCATATAATCAGGATTTTACTGTGCTTGAACTGAAAAGAGCTCTGTTGCAGACAAAAAGTTAATGTCCTGGTCCAGATGATATTGCCTATCCTATGCTGAAACATCTTCCTTCCAAGTCATTGGCAACCATCCTCTTTCTCTTTAATAGAGTATGGAAGGAACAAGTCTTTCCAAATGCCTGGGAAAACAGCTTTTGTCACCCCCATTGTTAAACCGGGAAAAGACCCTACTAATCCGTCAAATTACCGCCCCTTCGCTCTAACTAGCTGCCTCTGCAAACTCTTTGAAAAGATGGTCAACACTCGTCTGCTCTATTATTTAGAGACAAATAATTGTATCTCCCCTTATCAGAACGGTTTTAGAAAAGGAAGAGCAACTATCGATAATATCCTACTCTTAGAAACAGGTATCCGTAGAGCGTTCGTTAGAAGAAATCATTATGTTTCCATTTTCTTTGATATAGAGAAAGCCTATGATACCACCTGGAGATACGGTATCCTTCGTGACCTATATAACAATGGTTTACGAGGAAACATGCCGATATTCATCAAACATTTCCTACAGGATCGGAAGTTTCATGTGAAGATAGGCGATACACTTTCTGACATGTTCCATCAAGAAGAGGGCGTTCCGCAAGGAAGTGTATTAAGTGTTACATTATTTAGTATAAAAATTAACTCTATTTTAAAACAACTGCCTCCAGCAGTCCAGGGTATGCTCTATGTCGATGACCTGCAAGTCAGTTGCCAGGGAGAAGACCTGAAAGACATTGAATGTAAACTGCAGACATCTCTCAATAGAATTGTTAAATGGTCACAGGAAATGGTTTTTAGATTCTCTACTCAAAAGACTGTGTGTGTACATTTCTGTCGAAAGAAAATTCCTCACCCTGACCCCGAACTTTATCTGCAAGATGTGCTGATTCCTGTAGAAAAGGAAATAAAATTTCCTAGGAATGATATTTGACCATAAGCTTACGTTCCTTCCCCATATTACCTATCTAAAAAAGAAATGTTTAAAAACTATGAATATTCTGAAAATACTGTCAAATACTTCTTGGGGTGCTGATCGAGCCTCAATGCTTCTTATATATAAAGCTCTCATTCGTTCGAAACTAGATTATGGATCAATCATTTATGGGTCGGCAAGGCCTTCAGTATTAGCCAAACTTGATCATACATCACCAAGCACTTCGGATATGCACTGCCGCCTTTAGAACGTCCCCAGTGGAAAGTAACGAGACCTACCTGCGGTTAAGACGTGAAAATCTTTGTTTTAAGCATTATTTCAGTCTTATCACAAACCGAAAATCCTACGCGGTGAAAATTCCTTAATGAACAATACTTCCGTTTATATCAGGCACGACCATCGTGTGTTCCATCTTTCGGCTTGCGGATGAGTGCTTTGGTGGAGGAGTATAATTTGTCTAATATAGATATACAGGTGGAGGATTTTTTTGGAATTCCTCCCTGGGAGGATTGGAGAATCCATTCTCTGGATACTTTTCGACACTGGAGTAAATCACAAACTAACGAAATCATCTACAAGCAGATTTTTTTTTAACATAGAAACAAATATAGGAAATATATCCCTCTATATACAGACGGATCAAAATCCCAGGATCATGTTGGGCGCCGCTTTCGTCACAGAGAAAACAATAGTAGGGGTTCGATTACATACAGTTTGCTCTGTGCTTACTTCTGAGCTTACTGCAATCCATCTGGCTTTGACTTACCTTTCAAAACAAAAGTACATAAAGTTTATTATCTACACAGATTCCATGAGTGCCTTAATGTCATTGGAAAATCACGCTCAATGTACTCACCCAGTTGCAATCAGAATCCTGAAGTTGAATCATTCTTTAAAAATTCGGGGATACCAGATTCTTTATTCGTGGATCCCTGGACACGTTGCCATTAAGGGGAATGAATTTGGGATATTGCAGCTAAAACTGCAACCACAATGTACAATCTTCAGATTCCACTAGCAGACATCAAAGGGTTTGTCAAAAGCAAAATCTCAGCAAATGGCAGAAGCAATGGGATGAGACAAGTATATAACAAGCTGAGAAATGTAAAACCCACCATTGGATACTGGCCATGTATGGCTAATAGAAGGAAGATGTCCTCTTGACTCGACTGAGAATTGGCCATTGTCGCCTGACCCATGAGTATCTTCTGAAGGGAGAAGAGAATCCCAGCTGCCCAAACTGCAATGCAGATCTGACAGTCCATCATATCTTGGTGGAAATGCCAGAGTTTTAATTATTTTCGCCAAAAACATTTTAATTGTTCAGAACTGGACTTAGGAAATTTAATTGGAAAACACATCATCGTAATTTGTTTCTGTTTTTTAAAAGATATTGGCTTTTTTAATAGACTTTAATCTGTTTTTTAAAAGATATCAGCTTCTATCATAGATTGTAATCTGTCTCTTTTTACCTAAGCTGGAAGTTTTTACAAGTGACTAATTGCATTGTTACCATTTGTCTGGCGCAGATAACCTTGACAGGTTTTGTGCAAAATTACAGTAATCCAATCCTTGAATTAAAGGTTATTACGCCACAAAAATTATAAACTATTTTCAGCTGGAAATTAAGTTGTGAAGGAGTAATTTATACAAATAATTATCTTAACGAAATGGACCTTGGTACATACTTTTTGTAAAAACATATTTCAAGTGTATGAAATTTATACTTTCAGAGAAAATTAAAATCTCCTGTTATTTCCTGAAAGTTTACTATCAGCATTGAGAACATCCCAAAGTACGTTTTGCACATAATCTAGCTGTAAGTTCAAGCCAAGTCTTGAAATTTAAATATTTATAAATTTTTATGGACTACTTATGAAGTAATTTATTACGAACTTGGATTTCTGCAATTTGAATCTTGTTGCTTATTTCCGAAATTATTATAAAATACATTGCAATATAATAGACTTCAACTTAATTATAATTGTATCTGGAATACGCTGATGGTATTAAATCTTTCAGTATGTGGAATCAGCCTATGATCGATGATTCAGGCTTCCATTCCCAAGGTCATTCTCCGGTTGCTTTGGTTTCGATTTGCTTGATTGTGGAAAAGCATTGTCTCTGAATAATGTTGCCTTGTCATAACCAAAATCTCGTATGTTTAATGACTGGGCTTTGCACAGTAAATTTACGTTGGGAATGAAAAAGCACCGGCATGCTATTTCCATAGCTTTCCTCTGTAAAGAGACCACATTAATTTTACTTAGTTTTCATATGCTTTTCTAGCGGATCTGCTAAGAAATGCATTTACTAATTTCAATTGGTATGGTTTAAAGACGTGAACATCATTAATGACGCTTTAAGATGCTTAAAAATTTCAGTCTATTTCTGCAAACTAATGAAGCTATTAAGACAAATTCCATTAAAAGGAATTTACTTTCAAGTCAAAGTTAACTTCAAATGAATGATCACATTATCATAAATAGACTGAAAATGTAATTCAGTAAATTTCGAATTTAAATAAGATTCTTCAGAGTCATGTAAAATTATTTCAGTTTATAATGCGGGAATACGCGACTGCATTAGATCTTGATAAAATTATCTCCAAATGTAAAGTTACGTCAAAGTAAAATTTAACGTTAGAAAAAATATAGATACATATTTTATTGCAAAACGAACGATCTGAAAATTCGGAAAAAGCAATTTTACCCAAGCTAGGTTGCACGAAATACATGTCACAGCTCGACTAAGACGGTCTAAGGCTGTAATTTCAGTGACCTCCAGTGCCCACGTTCTTTGTTTTGGTGACAGAAGCAAATTTTACGAGTTGCAGAATAATTTGGTACATACAACTTGGGGACTAGGGGGTAATCGGATCCTGTTCATAGTTTGAGTAATCGTTTGAAAGATTATCACTTATTGCTCAACTGAGAGCAGATGTGTACTAGATTCCATTACACATTACCTTATTACAATCTAATATATTTGTTAGTTGTACTGGGTTACTATTCAGTGTATTGTCGGTTGTGATTTGAATACAGTGGTGTATATTTTCTTGTATTTGATGTCTTGTAAACTGCATAATTTTTAATAAGATAATCTGAGTTTCAATAAATATTAATAGCGGTTTTATTACTAATGTTGACATATATTACTTCGTACATTTAAAGGAATTTCTTAATCTTGAAATTTTAGAGTCATGGATAAAGCACAAATGCCTGTTGCTGGAGGCACCGATGGGTTCCGATAAATCCTCTGCTGGTGGAACATCTGATCAAAATACCGAACAGCAAACTGGGTTGGGAGCCACAGAATCAGGTCGACAGTCTACTAGTGACATAGTACATCCTGAAATACCTGTTCAAGAAACCGAAGAGCAAACTGGGATGGGAGCCACAGAATCAGGTCAACAGTCTACTAGTGACATAGTACATCCTGAAATACATCAAACCGAAGAGCAAACTGGGATGGGGGCCAGAGAATCAGGTCAACCGTCTACTAGTGACATAGTACATCCTGAAATACCTGTTCAAGAAACCAAAGAGCAAACTGGGATGGCGGCCACAGGTTCAGGTCAACTGTCTGCTGGTGACATGGTACATCCTGAAATACCTGTCCAAGAAACAAAAGACCCAGATTTGCCACAGGCAGCCATAGCCAGCAACACAACTTTGAGCAATCTACAGTCTACTAGTGGCTTAACAGATTCTACAAAATCTGCTCAAGTCGGCTCTCTTAGTCGCCAGCCTTCAGCACACGAGGATTCTACACTCTTTTCATCAAGACGCGGACAGACTTCAGCTTCAAAAAACGAACCAACGTCAGCCTTCGTTACTTACGTACAACCAGAACCAACCAAAGGGAAACCTGAGGATAGTCCCGCAGACCCACCTAGAACCGATTCCGCAACGGGACAAGATTCTGCGAATAACGGATCTACAGATGTTGTCGGATCTAGAGAAGATGATAACGAATTTAAGTTAATAAGTGGTAGATATGTGATTCCACGTAAGGTAAGTGAAAAACTGTATACAAGAAAAGGAGTAATTTAATTGTTTTAAGAGAAACTTTAAATGAATTAAACAAGTATGAACATGAGCAGATTAGGAATTAAATTTTTTAAATAAAATTCTTATTATTCAAAAGGTTTATACTGAGTGCTGCCTTTTTTAAATTCCTGGAATATAAAATCAAGAAATTTCGACATTTGGTTTAAGTGGATCGGAATTAAAACAAGTCTAAACGATAAATTTATATACTTAAGTTAGTAAATTGTTAATTTTTTGCTTTAAGTGATTGAATTGCCTTGTTCTTAATATTCTTGTCAAGGTTTTATGCCTTTAACCTGGTGCAATATTTATAGAATTATCAACAATTCGAAAATTGTTTAAATGGTACTAAGCCAAATAAGGCTGTCATTTGTTTAAATTTGAAATGCTTGATAGAATAGTGAATTAGATCAGTTGGTGCACAAAATTTCACATTGGGCTCATTAGGACCAAAAGAAAACTTCCGCTTTTGCGCACGAAAAGTCGAGTTGTCCATCGGACGAATTGCTTGTTTTTGGGCACGAGCTCTAATTTATAAAAATTGTTTTAACTTTATTTGGCGTTTCAGGATTTTCTGTATTTTGAGATATTTAAGATGTTTTGAGTTTTATGTAATTTTGCCTTATCTCGAAGTGAGAACAGAATTGATTTAATCAGAACTGTATTTAATAAAAAATAAGTTTAAATGAAATGCAGCAAAAATATGTATAATTTAAATGGGCTGTAAAAGGAAGTCATGTGGCGTCCACATCAGTTTTCTATTCAAAACGTTTGAAATACTGCTTAGGAACATAAAATGATTAATATTGTGCAATAGTGAATCGTAAGTTTTACCAAGGTTTATTGATATTTTTAAGCAAATCACAGCTGCTGTGCTAAACTAATTGGTGTTTGCATATTATCCCGTCGAACAGCCACGTAGGGTGTTTCAGCGCTAATTGTGGAAGACAATAGAAACGAATTCAATTCTTTTGAATTCAATAGAAACGACTAGCGATTGTCAACCTTTGGGTCTGCCTTCGGGATATGTAAATGCTAAATAGTTTTGTAATGTATTAAATTTTTTATTTTAAATAAATTATCCTTTATAAATTGGAATTCACGGAGATTGGACCTTATGCACAATATTAAATCGTCGTTGAAAAACGAATGTGCTCTTTGTTTTTGGAAGCTTGGTAGATTTTGGAAGTTGGCGTAAAACAAATCTGACGAGAATGTAAACTGCCTTAAGTGCTTATACTTAGTTTTATACACAAATGGTTTATTTTTGGTTGCATATTTTCGAGCTTTTGAAATTCCTAGTTAGGAAACGAACTTGAAGCTTTCCCATGTAGAGGTGAATTATTTTACTTTGATTTCTATGACAACTTTATTTGCTAAATGAACTAAGATTTTCCACATTGGCAATAGAATTGACACCTTTACTATGAATTTCCCGAAGATAGGCCTTCATTGTAAACTTTAAATTTCCATTTCTTTCCTCCACTCAGGCTCAATCTGTGGCCGAGTAGTTAGAACAGCTAAATACAGTTTAACCTGATGTCCAGCTTGGGCAAACCGGCTACTAATTTTCATGGTTGTTTTACAAGCGTGACGTGAAACATGCCAGATTTCTTTAATTTTTTCAACGATGGCATCTCTCATATTTGGCTATCATAAACAGATAGCCTCGTGTTTTGTGTATTCAGATATTCAAAAGTTCTTTACTTATGGCCCACCAGCGGCCGAGCGGTTAAGTCGCTGAACACTGGTAGTTCGGTCCGAGGTTCGAATCCCGCGAATGGGCTGGTTGCATGGGTGTTTTCGTGGTTTTTCCCCATGTGTAACGTGTATACGAGCCAGTTTTCCTTAGAAAGTCCTCCACGAAGGCATCCCTCCCCTTAGGCAGATAGCACTCGTGTGCTTTGCCGGAATTATATACACCTTTACTTATGACTATATTTCTTTATGTAAGGCAGACATGGACAGTTTGTCAATACACCTTACACAGGCATCCTTCCTCATGGACAGATTACTTAGAATAATAAAATAGTTATCCACTTCGAAGTCTATAATTAGTAATGCATGTACTTCGTTATATTTCAATTACCTTATCATTCGATTACTTTATTATTGAAAGATACTCTATTTCGGAATCGCACCGAATTTAGGTTATCTCATTTTCTAACTAACCTTTATTTTCATAACCTTTTCATTCGGATCGCTTTGTTATAAACCAAATATTGGTGAAATAATTTAGCTCCTGCTGCTGAAGGCTTAGAACTACTAAAGGCAGGGTAAATAAGGCTTCTAAAACGTAACAGTTCGACTGTTTTAAATCTTCACTAGCGAATCGATTAAACTGAGTTTTCACGGTTTTACCGATATGTAATGTGGATGCCAGCATGTTTAATTTCGAAGGTACTCTGAAAGAATTAAAGACGAGTAGTCCGTTATTAACAATACAAGCATATTTCCATTAAGTAATCAACCAGCCTCGACATTTTAGTTCAGTCCGGTAGCCTATCGTCATATCATTTAGAAACATTTCGGAAATTTAATTCAAAGATAATCGCAGTAGGTTAAGCAAAATCGTTAAACACTAATAGTTCAGCGCGGGGTTCGAATCTCTGAGAACGTATTGATTGCATGGGCATTTTCTCGTGTTTTGTGATGTGTAACGTATATACAAGCCACTCTCCCTTAGAAAATTCTCCATGAAGGCATCTTTCGCCTTAGGCAGGTAGCCCTCGAGTGCTTTGCCATAATCAAACAAAACCGAAACGAAGCAAAATTCTTAAGGTAAGTGAATAAGACCACAGAAATATACACTAGGTCGACAATAATTCAAGAATTTTGGAGAAAATCTACATTTTTCACAATGTGAACGGGAGTGGTTCATCCTGAATAACTCCATACGGTAATCCTCTTCATAGGAACAGCAGAAGGAAGCACAAACTAAAACTAATTCAGAAGTCAAACAACAAATCAGCGTTATATTTTCAAAATTTTCACAGGACTAGTTTCGATGGTTTTACCAAACCACCATCCTCAGCTGAAAAACCGCAAAAATGCGGTTTTGCAGCAAATTTTTGCGGTTTTTGCAGCAAATTTTTGCGGTTTTGCAGCTGAGGATGGTGGTTCGTAAAACCATCGAAACTTGTCCTGTGAAAATTTTGAAAATATATAACGCTGATTTTTGTTGTTTGACTTCTGAATTAGTATTTATTCGGCGTGTTGTGTCTTAATCACAATCTAAAAGTAAGAACTTAATGTTAAATTAATATAGTCGTCATTGATTCAATTTTCTTTGTTTCTGAAGTGCTAAAATCTAGCAATAATAGAAAACTTAAATGTTTATCTCTTGCGGCTTAACCGAAATTGTTCGGAACACTTAAATAAGATTTTAAAATACAAAATCTAACTTGTGCAAAACTTTGGATTATGATTCCGTATTTTTAGTGTTTAGGTTTTTCTTAGTAGAAAACTGCAGAAATGCAAAAACTACTCGATAAAATCTTTTCGAAAACAACCGTTCATTAGGTACTTTCCTACATTCGTGCATACCGCACTGGTCGCATCTGCTTTATGCATGCTGTTCAGAATATCATTCAAAGCCGACTGGGACTCTTTCATACATTATGCTCTTTTACTGAAGAAATAGTAAAGAAGGTGCACATTGATCAGGCTGTGAAGATCATTACAGATAAAATTATTCAAGCAGTTGATATATGTATACCAAAAACGTCGGTAAAACAGCCTAAATACCCAGAGCCCTGGTGGAATCCTGAATGCCATCAGAAAACAAAGGAAAGTTTGGAGCATTTTTCGGCGTAACCTTCAGAATCAAATCTCATAATATTCAAAAGGGCTAAAGCAAAAGCTCGTCAGGTGCGAAGGAAAAGTCAGAAGAATTCTTGGATCTCGTATGTATCTTCGATTACCTTTTCAACTTCAAGTAAGAAGGTCTGGGAGAGAGTCCGGAAAGCGTCCGGTATCTACAAAGAGCACACACTTTCCATTTTAAAGACAAGTGGTGAAAGCAGTTACTAGTAGGGAAGGAATTGCCAACGCTATTGGGACAGAGTTTCTCAGCCGTCTCACACAGTAGTAACTACCCTCTTGAATTTCTTTCCGCAAAAAAATGCATTGAAAAAACAACTAACTAATTTCAAATCTCCCAATACTGAACCTATATATAATCAGGATTTTACTGTGCTTGAACTGAAAGAGCTCTATGTTGCAGACAAAAAAATTCATGTCCTGGTCCAGATGATATTGCCTATCCTATGCTGAAACATCTTCCTTCCAAGTCATTGGCAGCCATCCTCTTTCTCTTTAATAGAGTATGGAAGGAACAAGTCTTTCCAAATGCCTGGAAAACAGCTTTTGTCATCCCCATTGTTAAACCGGGAAAAGACCCTACTAATCCGTCAAATTACCGCCCCATCGCTCTAACTAGCTGCCTCTGCAAACTCTTTGAAAAGATGGTCAACACTCGTCTGGTCTATTATTTAGAGACAAATAATTGTATCTCCCCTTATCAGAACGGTTTTAGAAAAGGAAGAGCAACTGTCGATAATATCCTACTCTTAGAAACAGGTATCCGTAGAGCGTTCGTTAGAAGAAATCATTATGTTTCCATTTTCTTTGATATAGAGAAAGCCTATGATACCACCTGGAGATACGGTATCCTTCGTGACCTATAGCAATGGTTTACGATAAAACATGCCAATATTCATCAAACATTTCCTACAGGATCGGAAGTTTCATGTCAAGATGGACGATACACTTTCTGACATGTTCCATCAAGAAGAGGGCGTTCCGCAAGGAAGTGTATTAAGTGTTACATTATTTAGTATAAAAATTAACTCTATTTTAAAACAACTGCCTCCAGCAGTCCAGGGTATGCTCTACGTCGATGACCTGCAAGTCAGTTGCCAGGGAGAAGACCTGAAAGACATTGAGTGTAAACTGCAGACATCTCTCAATAGAATTGTTAAATGGTCGCAGGAAAAGGAAAATGGTTTTAGATTCTCTACTCAAAAGACTGTGTGTGTACATTTCTGTCGAAAGAAAATTCCTCACCCTGACCGAACTTTATCTGCAAGATGTGCTTATGTAGAAAAGAT